CAAAGATATGCCCGAGGTAATATCTATATCTCGGTAGTATCTCTTTGTCACTAGATCAAATTGCGGAATAGTGTACCTTTTTGACCAATTCCGAAAAACAAACGTTCTTTTCCAATTATCTCTCCATTGTGGTATTTCCGCTACGGTATACCGCTCACTAACGTCACTTTTTTCCATATACCTCTGCAAAAAAAGACATTGGACGCTTCATCTCATTGTGGTGTAACAGAAACGAGTTCAATAACCAAAATTCACTTGGATTCGCTCCAGTGAACTCACGCCACTGGTCAAACAGTTGACGATCAGTTATCGTATACACACCATTATTGAAACTTATTCCAAAACGTTCGCTATATTGTTGTAATGTTGGCAACGCAGCCTTTAGAAATTCTGTTGTAAACAGTCCTTGGCACAAGTTGTTTACCCCGGCATAAGGTTTACCACGAGATCTCGGTAATCCCGGAGGTACCGGACCATATGCTACATTATAACTCACATCGATATGGCATTTCGAAGCCATCGCAGTTTTATAAATCGTCAGAGGTGATCTTATTGGTAGAGTCCGTTCAGTCAATACTATACATCTTGCTGCGTGGGGAATATTGCAACCGTATTCGAGCATTCGGAGGTAAATCTGGGTAAAGTTTATGCTACCATGAAGGTTGCGCAATGGTAAAACCTTACCAAAAATATCCGGAAACGGTCTAAATCTTGAAATTATATTATGGGACTCTCTAACTGTGCAGTTGTTCATATCTTCGTGATAGACCACCAGTTCAAGAGGAACTTTCTTTTCTTCGCATTTTTCCAAAAATCTAATCCAGATTTCACGGTTGTATGTACGTTCACTCGCAGATATCATTAACAAGATAACCGGAGGTAGTACAGCGCTCTGTTTTGGCACTTTATGTCTCCAACACCGCCTATTGTACTTGTGACCATGACGTCCTTTTCTACTACAATAGTTTCCACAAAACTTTTTCCTATCGGAATAGTAATATGTGCAAAGATTAGATTTAACATTATGAAGTTTGGTATCGTAACCTCTAAGGTCGTTGTAGGTGTAGATGTTAACCATTATAACTCCTCAATGAAACTGTCAAATCCTATACGGTATCTACCTTTATTAGTGTCCCGAGTCTTGTCGATAACTAAGAACCCATGATTGTCTTTCCACGCCAGTGCACACATCTGTTTGAATCTATCAAATGGCATGTCGGTAGTGACATGGTCGCAATATATGTGTCGGAAATTCATATCATCCTGTTTGAATAGTATTAAAAGGTTTGCGTTGTCTCTGATAAGCTGCTTTGGTATAGCACTATACGTCTGACCCAAATAAAAGGTGTCAATATTGTTATGCCTACCCATAGTGAAATAGTTTGTAATGTTGTTGTGTTTCTCACAGGATATATCGTCAAATATCATTATTGAATGTGGTTTAGCTTTATTTGGATGAACTACCAAGTTGTTGTCACCATATGCAAAGTAACCAATTTCCTTAGGTAGAGCCAATGGTAAAAACTGGTATTTGGGCTGATTAAGGGATTTACAGAAAATGTAGATATTTTCAAAAACAAGACCATTTGGATCGAATAATAAATTAAACACAACATTTGTTTTACCCGAGTTGCTGGGGCCTGAAAGGATCCCGCGAATTGAGTCTGGTAGCAGATGGCCATGTTTATTTTTAGATGCCAGACCCTCGCCGAGATACTCGTCATAGTTTTTTACCGTCAAAGGGGGACTCTGCTGTGCCACACGCATCGTGTTCAACTGATGTAGCACACTCACCCTATCGTTTATAAATACGTCCGGATGCAGCTGCTTGATCTACACAGAGCCGTCAACGGATGCTCTAAATAAGAATGTCGCTTTTACTAAGCCACGTGTCGCTTTTCTTGTCAAAGCCAAGCCATCTGACTTTTATTTTATCTCCTTTCCGCTGTAACACTCTTTCAACTAAATATACATCTCCGGTCTTTGATTTATTTAGCTCCTGTTCATAAAACCCTCCCTTTAGTATTTCACCGTTATGGTCTTTGAGTACATATGTAGGTGGTTTTGTTGGTTTGATAGCGTAAATGGTGAAAACCTCGTTTGTCCAGTTTGGCAGATAGCCTTTAGTAAAAACTCTTTTATACTTACTAATCCTAACACTATCCCCCAGTTTAAATTTTGGTGCCAGCCTTTTTCCCTTCTTGTTTATCCTTTTTAATATTTCCTTTACATTCTTTTGTTTCACATCTTTTGGTTTCATACCAATTGTTTTATGTACCGAGTTATTATATCGTTTGAGAATATCAGGAAGTAATGACAACCATTCATATGTACCCTTTGCGGTAAACTCTTTCCACATCCACTGTTTCAAAGTTCTGTTATATCTTTCCACGATACTAGCTTTTAAATCAGAAAACGTAGAATAATGGTTAATTTTATACTTTTTCATGAGAGCACCAATATGTTTATTAAACCATTCGGTCCCCTGATCGGTTTGAAAGTGTTTCATCTTATGTTTGATCAAAATAGGTTCAAGTGCCTTGGCAACTGCCGGACCTGTCTTATCTTTTAATGGGACTGCAAAACCGAGTTTTGAAAAACAATTGATCATAGTCATGATGTATCGATTACCTTTATTGAACTTTGCATAAGGCTGCATCTCTACGAGATCGGCCTGGTACAAATCATTCAACCCTTTAAGAGTCACTTTCCGTCTAGTGTAATTTTTTCTAGCAGGTTTGTGTAGCTCTTCAGCTATAGCACGTCTGACATCCATTGTTAAAATGATACAACTTGACAGTGTATTGATAATTTATTAAGTTTTTTAGAAATGCTGCGGCCCCTCCACCGCCGCAGCTCGTGATGGCCTCCAAAAACAAACTAGTTGCCACCTCCGTTTATTTTTTGTTGTTTTACAAGTATTTAGTTTTTACAATGTTTACAAGTGACTTTACGGAAGATAAATAAAGGAGCCATGCAAATGCGGCATGTTTCTTTTGGGACTTTAAACTTTGGATACATGTAGTTACCTCTTCGCTTTAAGCGAGAAGGAAGATCAACCATTCTTCCACAGTCAATACATAACCTATTGGAGCCTCTAAAAGACTCATAGTAGTTTAGGGTTACATAACCACAGTTTTCCCTATGATAGCTCAAAACGTCCTGCCTTAGCGTTGATGGAAGATCAACACTTTCTTTTACATAAGGTAAAAGGATAACGTTTGTGCAAATCTCCCTAATTGAAAGCTCAGACAGGGACAACATGATGGCAAGAAGGTTCCAAATAGAATAGTCTTTTTATTTGCCCCCCAGAAAAGCTGCGGCCCCTCCACCGCCGCAGCTCGTGACGGCCTCCAAAAACAAACTAGTTGCCGTCTCCGTTCCCCCAAAATTTCTCTTACCACCTTCTCAAGGATGGGATCAAGGATTGTAGACAGGAACATCTTCTCAATCTGGTCCAATTGTATAGACGTGCTGCACAGATGGTGCATCTATCTCTTGGAGTCTTAAATTTTGCTACACATACAACTGTTCCAAACCGTCGAAAAGAAATATTCGCTGCCTCTCCACAATCCTTACAAAACTCTTCATTGTCGAGAAAACAAATATAGTAGTAGACATAGCCACAGTTTTCATGGTGGTAATTGAATATGTAATCTTTAATCACAGGTGGGATTGCTGCTTGCTTTACAGCACTCAAAAGAAACATGTTATCAGTAATTGTTCTAGCTGAGAGCTCAAGTAGGGACAACATGGTGGCGAGAAGGTTCCAAGTGGAATGACACTCACCCCTCCACACATGGTTTACGGGCCTTTCGGCCGCGCCAGTGACCTTCATACATGGTTTAGAGGCTTTTTAGTCAGCCGTGCCAGTGACCTTCACATATGGTTTACGGGCTTTTTAGTCAGCCGCGCCAGTGACCACCATTCACACATGCACAAGGAGTAGCTCAAGTCCCTCCAGATTTGAGCGCCTCAATGTACAAACACATTCAAAAATAGCCCCACTCCAGTTGGATCTCAGCCACCATGTGTTTCGCATCGTGTTTCGGCTGGATATTCTCCATCAAGCGCGACGAGCCGTCGCCATTTATCGTCAAGACAAGGGTGGTATTTCTTAGACCGGTGGAGCCAATCTACGAAGAACTTCGACCCTTAGATCTCAGGCCACCACCGTTACCACCAAGAAACACAGAATATGCCACCATAAAGGTATGTAGTGATAGTGGAGAGGGGAGCGCAACACATGTGCAGCATGTGCAACATGTGTGTTTAGTGTCCAACATGATCTCTCTGATGCTGGTCGTTAGTGATTTTGTTCAACATTATTTATATCGCAGAGTATGTGAATTTTTGAATTTGAGTGAAGAAGACAACGATTCAGACACAGATTCGGAATTTGGGGTCAATTGGGGCCCGGGAGGGTGGAACGGGTGGAACGAGGTAGATATTGGGGACTGGGAGGAGCTGAGTGACAGTGATAGTGATAGTGATTCAGGAGTTGAGATCTTGGTGAGTTTTTTGAATTTTAAACCCATATGGAAGTGTATCATAATTGCTACCATGTTTCCTTTTTGGCCCCGTAATTTTAAACTGTTTGACCTCACTGATTGTAACTATATTCCTATCCTTTGTTCGTCTGATTCTATTTTCCTCAATGTCCATTGTTTGTGCAGCATCACCAAGGACCATCTCTTTCAAACTGTCAAATCCAATCTTTTTAGAAGTTTTCATATTTAATGTAAGTCCTTTTACTTTACAAACGGGAATCAATTTTTGTTTGTTTGTTGACCACACGAGGTATGCATAGGTTTTTGGCCCTCCAGATACAAACTCTGTTATGTATGAACCTGGTCCATACTCGGCCAACTCATCGGTCATTTCCCCTAGATAATCTCCCGTGGGAACTCTATACAAACCACCCTTGTATACATACAATACAGAATCAGTATCATAATACAACACTTGACCACCCAAGGCATCTAGATGCTCATAGAGCTTTAATCTCGCTTGGGCAGTAGTGTAAGCTGCCACCACAACATTTACATTTTGCAATGGCTCCCCAACCTCATCAATGTACTCCCAGTTGACAACAAGAACCTCATCATTGACAATCTGTACTCTATTTACATCTATTTCGGGGCTAGTTAACATTTTGAAAAGTGTTTTTGGGTCCCTGACAATTGTAGCTTTGGTCTGATTTTCACGCTGTCCAAATTTTCCCCAAAACGAGTTCAACATAAGCTTAGCCAATGACCTCAAGCCACCATTTTTTACAATTTTGTCTTTTTCCAATTGGACGCCCTCTTTCTTAAAATAATCGTCAATGTATTTGTTTTTGTCCTCATCAGTTTCACACCAACTAGGAAACCCAGATGCTTCCTGTTTCATTTTTAAAAATTTATTTATAAAATCAGTAAACAATCCCCCATTTTCATATGTGGCTACCTTATACTCCCAAAGTTCATACATATCAAGTACAACATAGCCCTTTTCTACAGCTTTACGAACTTCGTCCATAGTCCAGGTCCCAATTAGTGCTCTGTCACCACTTTCGTGGTCGCAATCACTTTGAACCTGACCATCTCCACAAGTCGCACACAAAACAAACATTAACTTGTCATTCATTTTAGCTGGGAGCACAGGATGGTAAAGATCGCGTGGTGGGAGTACTTTACACTTTAATAGGCCCTCAACATTAAGACCTCTCTGTCTACACTCTTTGTCTCCTACATAGATTGTTGGATGGCCTACAGGGTACTTGCCGTATTTACATACCCAGGGATAGAGAGAGCATACATCAACGTATTCAATAGTTTCCCCTTCGGAGCATTTGTGATACGTTTTAGTATTCCCGGTTCGGCCCCCAAAAAATGCTTGCCTCGGATTCAGGGGTAAATTGTTGAGGATCGGCAACTTGTCTAGATGTTTCAGGTTTTCTGTCTTTTTCAACTGTCTAAATTCACATTCCCACATTTGTACAACGTTATCACCCAACTTTGCTATTTTTGATTTGGTCCGTTCATACCGCAAGTGGAGTGAGTCAGAGGGGTCCTCTTTCAAAGCAAGTTCACGGTCGTAGGGAAAGCATTTAGGGCACCCGTGCCAGTAGCATCCTTGAAATTCGTAAATATTCTGACCGTCAAACCCATCTACTTTCAGTTTATTGATCTTAACTTCTTTTCCACGACCAGCGTGTTCAATTCTAACTCCACGTTTCTCCTCTTCCCACGATAGCCACTGTAAAGCAATAGCCGACTGAGCGTCTGCAAGCCTATACCCGTTTTTAGGAACGATGCCAATGGTATTTTTCTTCAAAAAGTTCCGACGGAAGGCCAAATTGCATGCACTGGCGATGGTTACAGCTTCAAGAAACGGGTCAACATTACACTCTTGCAGAAAAATTGAACGGAACTTTAAGCAAGCTTGGGCCAAGATATCAACGTCCGACATACAATACTCGAGGATTTCTTTCTTAAAGTCAAATGTAAAGTGGTTTGCAACCTGATCATTATACCAGTTTTCAAAATCTTTATATGATTTTTCAAACATAGATTCTGGGCAGTAAAACTCCTTTGGTGGCATAGAGCCCACATAATTTTGATTCTTAAGAGTGTTAAAGAGGTGGGGGAAATAGCCTTTCTTCTTTTCCGGGGGCAAGTCAAAGGCTTTGGGTAGTGCAGCAAGAGGCATAGGGAAATAACTAAGTGAATCAACAAACCTCACATTGTCAATCTCCATCAAAATGACCTTAGTTCCCCGCATTACAAGTTTCGGAGTAAACTTTGTATCCTCCAACACATATTTGAGCAAAAACTGGAAATCAAAACCCTGCCCATTGTGTGCAATAACACATACATCTTTAAAATTTCTACGGACTTGCATCACATAGTCCATGAACTGAGTGACTGGTTCAGAACTAAACACTCGTGTACGATTTTTACAAGCCATACAAAATTTAGCCTCAATACACTGATAACAAAACTGTTGTGACACACACAAGTTCACTTGATGCAATTTAGACTCAGGATCTGAGGGCAGAGACTCATCTTGACGGGTTTCCAAGTCAAAGAAAATAAACAAAAACTCTTTAGATTTAGGCTTTCTTGTGTCAGGTTTCATATAGCATTTGTGGTTAGGTACTTCAAATGAACTGCAAGGTTTGCAATATACTTCACCACATTTATGAGGCTTAGATCGATCTCTAATCCAAACCAATTTCCCACAGTCTAGACATTTCTTTACATTTTTACATCTATCAGCTTGATGCGCGATAAAACATCTCTGATTTTTATAAGTCATGTTACATTTAGGGCACAGAACACCACCACTCTCCACTACACAGGGAGGTGAGATAGTTTGACACTGTGGGCAAATGTTTGAGCAACGATGCTCTCTTTTATGATCGTAGGGTACATGACAGGCTTCACAGAAATAATTACAAACAAAAGCAGCAGTCAAACAATTAATCACATTGTAGTGTCCATTGTGAAACAACAAGTTAATTTGGAACTTAGGGTTCTCTACATTTCCCTCAAAGTAGACATCACGTCCTTTCCTGTCATAGTTGTACACGACAATTTTGTAGTCCCTCAAAAACCCCTGAAATTTTTCAAGTTCCGGGATCCCAGCTCCACCCTCTGGCATTTCAACCCTAGCTCGACGCACAAGTTCCTGAGCCCTGATTGTTTGCCTATTTGCCCTATCCTTTCTAACTGCATTATAGTCAGGATCTTTACTTACATTGGCCATAGCCACTACAATTGCACGGGGAAGACACAATTTATCTTTATTATTTATAACAACAATTCCCCGTCTTGCCTTGCATTCCTCATCAAACGTATTGTAAAACCCTGGTCTTACCCTTCCAGAGCCTACAGGAAGGTTAATTCTAGTGCATTCCACTTTAAAAGTGTCGGTTGATTTTATGGATTCAGAGTTTGATTGCACAATACCACCAAAGATTTGCCACAACACGTTTTCATCAATTTCAGTAGCAGGCCGAAAATTTACATAGCCGGGTGCTTTTGATTTCAAGTTGAGACTCTCCAAAGTAAATCCAAGTTGATCATTTTCAAAAGCTTGTTCTTTCATACTATTTACAATTTGTGCAAACCCTTGTCTCAACCAATCAATCTCATTAGTCTCCGGAGGCGGATTAGTGAATTTAAATACTGTTTTACTTCCATACAATCTAAATTTATTTACATAAGTTTGATCGGTACTTATTAAAGTAACAGGCTCGACTACTTTAACGGGTTCAACTATTTCATCAGATACGTTATCAGCCATACTAACATCCATCGTCGTCAAACGCCTAGAGCAAAGTAAAAGGGACGCGGAGACACAAGATCTAGTGGGGCCACAGTCTGCGCGCGCACACGGCTAAATATAGCTCACCGATGCGCACTACAACACCGAGACACAAGATGTGGTGGGGACACAGCTGCGCGCACACAAAGCTGAATATAGCACACCACTTGCACAATACGTTACACAAAAGAAACAAAGTTCACTTACCACTGATGTGTCATAAATAATCAGACTAACATTAACACTAGAAATAACTTGCAAACATAACCTCAAAACATCAAACACAAGAGCACACGTCCAACACATTCAATTGCCAAAAGCAAAGTGAAAGAAAATAAGTACTGAAAGTTTAAATAGAAATATTGACCAATCACACAACATATCACCTATTTATGACCATTCAGGTACAAGCTTATTACAACCAATCAGCAGCCAGGACACACGTCGTTAACACTTTCTTGTTTTGTTACAGAGCCGTGAAGAAGAAGAAGAAGAAGAAGATTTATAGTATTTGTAAATATTTTTAAAAGTATGTAAATATAAATCGTAGATGTAGTAGCATTAAAACATATTTTAAATCAAACAATGTTTGTAATTATCCAGAGCACATAACTCAGTGGAGGTTATTTCATTTAGCAAGAGTTGATCATTACAGAGGTTTTTAAGTTGGCGGGAACCTACGCAATACGTGAGGTTATGCAACTTTGCACGAAAATAAGTTTAGACAACATAGGAGACCAGGGGAATGGCTGCCTAGGGGGAGGGGTGCTCTGTAATTAGCTTGGGCGTAGGAGGAGGGGTACTCTCTAATTAGCTGGGGCGTGGCCTAGGAGGAGGGGTGCTCTCTGATTGGCTAGGGGGCGTGGCTTAGAGGGAGGGGTGGGGATGAAATGCTGCTCTCTGATTGGTGGCCTGAAGAGCTGGGTAGCCTACTTAAAGTACAGTAAAAGTAATCACTAAGAATGTTATGTTTATTCAAAATGGAGGAAACATTAATGCAGAATTCGTACGAAAAGTAGCTTTGCCGCAATCGTTTAAATAACAACTGTTACGCTCGAATAGAGCAAAGTGCAACCACAATAGAATTGTAAACTGTGAGAAATCGCGATATAGTGAATTTTTATTTGTTTCAATGGGATAAAAAATTCTTTAGACAAATACGTCCGTCTTACTGTGACTATTGAATATTGTAGTTTAAACGTTTTACTTCCGTGGGCTATTTTTTTGTTGCTCTACGTTTTAATGTAAAATATATCTGTTTAAGCGTAACTACTTCATACTTTTAACCTTGATTGAATAATCAAGTCTCAGAAGGATGTCATATCCCAGTCAGGGAGTAAATGGAGACGTCCTTACTAATGAATTAGTCTCAGCGCTCTTGACAATTAGTCAGAGCCCTTATAGCTCTGGTTAAATTAAAACGGCTATAATATGATCTAACTTAGCCTAACAGGTAATGTTTTTAATAATAATTAAAACTAGATATAATAGTTTGTTGTTACCTATACGGTAGTGTTAATATTATGATGATGACATCGGTGTTTTGGTAAAGTCACGAGAATTCATTTGCAAGGTTTTTAAACTGTATTTTAAATCCAATGAATTAAAATGATGATTGGTTTTGATAAATACAGTATAATGTTAGTAACCACCATAATCTCTTTCAAAAATACATCAAAATAATACAGTCCATCGAAATGATTCAATCACTTACCAAACAGCTGCTTATCACATAAGCAGAATTAAAAAGAAGCTGGAAGTTATTTTGAGAGGTTATCTTTATATACAAAGTATTTTAATTTTTAAGCATGGTTTATTAGTTTGGCCTAATGACGCAATATGAAGAAAAATATAGTTCATCACAAGGGCTATAGGTGTATTTACAAACCTAGCTCATGTTCTGACCTTGGCTAAGCCTTGGTCGTAAAAATTGAGCTCGATCCGGAAAGAGTCACTTTACGCCCCAGTGATAAAATGCACAATTTCTAAGCGATTTAGGACCAATTCACGTGAAAGTATATTTAACAACAATGAATGCAGGACAAATTTTAACCTAACAGCTTTAAATAACACATATGGTGGTCATTGTGGTACAACGTTTTTTAATGCTTTATATTATGGAGATTCCAGTCAGTAAGCTAAGCAAAGGTGTTCACAGTGCATTATGTTAACACTGCAAGGGATGTCATATCAGTTGGTGCAGTTGAGTAACTTTACACTGGGATACGTCTCTTGGCATAATCTACATTATGTTAGAGGAATACTATGTCTAACTGAACATGTTCACCCAGGAATAGACAAGCTTTATGATAACTTTTAATGTTTACATGTTTCTAATTTCTAATAAGTATAAAGTGTTTATAACTGCTACTGGTAAGTGTAAAATACAGTTCATAATAAGAGTATTTATTGATTGCATTTGACATACAGTTACAGAGCTGTTGTTGATTTTATTAGAAACAGTTTAGTCCTAAGTGATGTTAAAATACAAATATATTAGATTATATTAGATTTGGCCACCCCAACTGGATAATTAATCCAGTTGCCAATCCCCAATCAACCCCCTCACCAAGTTTATAAAATTGTCCGCAAAATCCAACTAATTATTAATAAAATTATTTTAATTATTATTATTTAAATTAAAAGCTACAAACAAGATTAAAATTATTTTAATTTATTTTTATAAGTAAAAAAGGCTTAATATAAAAAAAGTTATTCTACCCCAAACAGGTTTGACAGGAAATGGAAGCTTAGTTAATTCACTATATATTCTTTCACAAAAAATATTAATTAAATGTCCCTCAATCTGTTTTAACAACATTTAATCCAAAAGTAATATTTTTCTAGAATTTAAAAGATATAATATCAGCGAAACATTTAGAAATATGAGCCACGCTGTGATTGTTGTGAAATAGTGAAATTGGGTTTGAAGAAGGAAGATGATTCGAAATTATGGCAAATTGTGTCTATCAACATCACAAAGGCGTTGAATAACGTTGAATAATATGCGTCTTTTAACGTTATGTTAAATATGAAGATTAACAGTTAATTTATATTTCGAAAATCCACATTTCTGAAAATGGGGCCAATAGGTTTATACATAAAAATGTAGTCAGATAATAGCATTTATATTTCCAGTAATGTATTCAACGTTCTTTGGGAATTATTAAAACCCACAAAGTGTTTTGCTGAAGAAAGAAGTTTGTTGTTCCCAAATTGGAAGAAATAACAAATTGTTAAAGTAGTTGATTGTTATATAGTGGTTAATAATACAAAAACCATTAACAAATACTTAAAATGCATAAGAGAACCATGGATTTTATACTATACACAGTCGTGACCACCACACAAACAACTCGTCCCTTTATTAGGAGGTGTGTTAACAGTAGATTGGATGGTTTAGGTGGAAGGGATTGGTCAATTACTTTGGAGCAACACATTCATGTAGTTACAGTTCTATTTAAAGATACGGAAAGTAAAAAACATGTACAATTCTGATCAAGGAGTTATTTATTTAAAGACGTGCAAGTGATTGGGTTTGGTAGAACATTTAGTCTGAAACAGATTGCTAATGTCGATTACACATAAACGAAAGGTAATAAACATATACATTATACATATACATTTATTACATTATACACTATACATTATACATACATTATTATACATTATACATTTAATACATGAAAGGTAATAAAGGAAGAGTAATAACGGAAGGTCAAATAAAAAATTCCTCGTTTGAATCCACACAAGATCATTTAAATGTAAACCTCGATCATAAAAATCATTTTACAGGAATTGTTTAGAGT